CATAAAACACATAGTTAAATTATCAAAATACTCTTGAAAGCCAAACAATTAAAACTAGCCTTAATAGGCGTTTTCATCCTTTTACTATGATTTGTTTTTTGTTATTATCATGTTAATTAGGAGAAAATTAGATCTTTTAATAAATAAAAATAATAAAAAATGGTTAACATGTGTGGGGCACTTACCCATGCATGGGAGAAATAGTTAATACGTGTGGGGCACTTACCCATGCATGGGAGACATCTACACTCTTTGAACAGCGCTTACGGTATCTTTCAATTGCTAAAAATATCCTTTCACTATGTTATTGAAAGCATCACCACATCCTTTTCCTGTTGGTGCGTACCATTAATAGTGGAGCAATCCATCAACCACCATATGATTTTTCTAAATATAGTACTTCATGTATAATAAATAAGGTATGAGTTTGAAAAGTTAATATTAATTGATTTTTTTTTTAAATGAGCTTTATAATTTTTTAAATTTTTTTCTATTAAGTTATTCTAATTTTATAATTTGGGTTGAGAGTTTGGAGGGATATCCTAAATTGACTCAATCATGATTATCAAGATTACATGTTTGTCATGCTAATTCAAGTTAGGTTTTTTTTACTCCTTTTCTTCTTGTTGTATTTGATGAGTTATGAATTGAGTTATATTATTTGTATTTTTTTTTCAAAGTATTTTTTTATAAATTATCATGATCACTTTAAAAAAAACCTTGATCCATCTATTATCATTGCTTATTTTTCTTATCTTCTAATTAAAATAAAAATAATTTATTTGAGTTATTACTTACAACTCCTAAACATCATTTTTAATGAAAAAAATAATCTAGTCTCACAACAAATCAGAGTAACCAACACTAGTTATTACACTAGAATGTTTGAAAAGGAAAAATGCTTTGGATAGCCATCTAGTGCTCTAAATTTACACTTTTGCTTGTAGTTTTGCATGAATCGATGAAAATTGAATTTGTGTATCGCACAAATTAGATTGGTGGCTTATACTATGCTGCGAGCAGGGTTAAAATATTCCTAGCATAAAAAAATATCAAAGCCAATCCAAGGTAATATGATTAATATGCAATCCGAGATATAAGATTGAGTTAAATCCAAAAAAAAGAACGGGAAGACAATCATAAAATTTAATGCTCAATAATTTAATGTAAAATGATGTAAAAAAATCAATTTAAAAAAAATTATTGAAAAAAGAAACTCATATGCACCTGGGTTAATTTGACTAACCAACCACCTGTGATATGAGGCTGGGATAAAAAAATAGACTTTTAAAAGAAAATTAATAAAAAAAACATTAAAAAAAAATTATGCTAACCTAAATTAACTTAATAAACTCAAATTCGGGATCACCTCATCAAAAAGAAAAAAAAAGGTAAAACAATGAGTTTACTGAGTTAACTCTATTATCCATTATTTATAATATGAGATTGAGATAAAAATAATTTCAAAAAAAAAAAGCCTAGTAACTGAAGCTAAATAAAAAAAATATCGAAAAAATATTTAAAATAACCTAGATTAATTTGACTAACTCGCACTCAAAATAACATTATAAAAAAAAATCACAAAACTCAATAGTCATTAATATAACTTAAAATAATTAAATTATAAAAAAAACTTCAAAAAAATACTCAAGATAACTCAAATTGTTTCGACTAACCTGTTACTTGAGATATAAAATTAACATAACCTAATAAAGAAAAAAGTTAAACCAAGTCATGAGACTATAATTGACTTGCAGTAATATAAATATTAAAAAATAAGAAAGTAGATGAAAATTGAATTTGTATATCGCACAAACAGGATTGGTTACTTATGCTATGTTGCGAGCAGGGTTAAAATATTCCTAGCGTAAAAAAATATCAAAGCCAATCCAGGGTAATATGATTAATATCCAATCCGAGATATAAAATTGAGTTAAATCTAAAAAAAAAAGAATGGGAAAACAATCATAAAATTTAATGCTCAATAATTTAATGAAAATGATGTAAAAAAATCAATTTTTAAAAAATAATATTGAAAAAAGAAACTCATATGCACCTAGGTTAATTTGACTAACCAACTACCTGTGATATGAGGTTGGGATAAAAAAAATAGACTTTTAAAAGAAGATCCTAAAAAAAAATACCGAAGATTAATAAAAAAAACATTAAAAAAAATTGTGCTAACCTAGATTAACTTAACAAACCCAAATTCAGGATCACCTCATAAAAAAAAAAAAGGTAAAACAATGAGTTTACTGAGTTAACTCCATTATCCATTATTTATGATATGAGATTGAGATAAAAATAATTTCAAAAAAAAAACCTAGCAATTGAAGCTAAATAAAAAAAATGTTGAAAAAATATTTAAAATAACCTAGATTAACTTGACTAACTTGCACTCAAATAACATTATAAAAAAAAATCACAAAACTCAATAGTCACTAATATAACTTAAAATAATTAAATTATAAAAAAAATTCAAAAAAATACTCAAGACAACTCAAGTTGTTTCGACTAACCTGTTCCTCGAGATATAAAATTAACATAATCTAATATATAAGAAAGTTAAACCATGAGACTAGAATTGACTTGTAGTAATATAAATATTAAAAAATAAGAAAGATAACAAAATTAATTAAAAAAAATCTACAAAACAATTCAAGTTAGCCAGAACTAATATGTTAATGTTAAATCAATAACATAGGTAATGATATTAGAATAACTTCATCAAAGCAAATAAAAAAATTATGAAGATTGTTTTTTATTAAACGTTAAATTTGAGAAAGACAACAAACTAAACCCATAAGATTAAAATAACTCAATATAAAGCATATTGAAAAGGGTTATGAAGCTAAATTCACAAACAATCTATTATTGAATAATACAATTAAAAAATAATTCTAAGAAAATAAAAGAAAATTGAAGAGTGAAATTAAATAAATAAATAGATAAATAAAGGACTAAAAAAATAAACCGAGTTAACTTGGGTTAAATTTCCAAACCTATAATTAGAGTTAAGAGATTAAGATGATCTCGTAGAAAGTAAATTAATTTTCAACCAACTCAATATCGATAAATGAAAGTAAAAAAAAAATCAATTAGTAAATGTAAAAAAAAATGACTAAAATCAACTTAAGTTAACTTATTAAACCTACCATCTAAATCATGAGATTGAGATAAATTCATAAAAAATAAATAAAAAAATTATAAAGTTTTATTTCTAATAAATTTAATATTAAAGATTGAAATAGAAAAATAAATCTATAAGACCAATATATAAAACAACAAGAAAAAAACAAAAAGCACAATTTCCAATACAAGCACTATTAAAGAAAGAAATTGAAAAAAAAAGATTAGATTGTAAAATGATGAAACTAAAAAAAAAATACAACATAAAATACAACATAAAGCATTATTGTAGTAAATAGTATTTTGTGAGTGTCACTACAATAATTTAGTCATACCCTACAATTTTTTGTTGTTAGTAGACAAGAGACTTGGATTATATGGTGGGCTCAAAATATTTTTAAAGCCAAAAAAAAAAAGATGTTAACACAACTCAAGTGTTCATAGAAAAGAAAAAATAATTGAAACTCGAGTCATTGACTCGACTGAGTTTAATAAATTCAGTTAATTGAAATAATATGAATAAAAAATGCAACGACAATAAATAAACTAATATAAAAAAATTAACAACATAAAAAAACTATGAAATTCATCGAAAGTAAACTGAATAAATTTGTGAAGTTTAATTATCAAGCACCCTAATATTTAAGGATAAAATTAAAAAAAAACTAATTAAAAAAAACCAATAAAAAAATCAAATTCAATTAGAGTTTACCTACTAGTTATATGACCCTGAGTACAGAATTAAGATAGCCTTATAAAAAAAAAAAGTAAAAAACAAAAAGCATCAAAACCAATTCCCAATAAATCTAGGTTGAAGGAAGAATTTAAGAAAAAAGTTAATTTAAAAAAAAAAACCTCAAAAAACTAAAATCAACTCATGTTAATATTTAAACTTATAATCCCAGTAATAAGTCTGTGACCAACCCCATGAAATGCAAAACTTAAAAAATAACAGAATAAAATTAAAAATTAATAAAATATTAAGAGATAAAATTAAAAAAATAAAAATTAATAAAATATTAAGAAATGAAATTAAAAAAAATATTATAAAAATAAATAAAAAGAATGAGAACTAAATTTTAAATAAAAATAATTTCAAATAAATGATAACAAATGAAACAAAAATCAATTAGGAAAAATAAGAAAAAAATAACAATTAAAAGAATAAAAATCAAATTTAATATAAAAATTAAATAAAAATAAATTATGAGTAATGAAATTGAAGAAAAAATTAATAAAAATAACAATAAAAATTAAAAATTAAATTAAATAAAAAATAAATAAAAGAGCACCTTTATATTTTCACAATGAAAAAAAGGAGTTTATCAAAATTTAATTATTATCAAAATAATATTTATATTTGTGAAAAGATTAATTTTTTCTGGACAACTTATTAATAACTAAAAAACTAATTTGAAAACATAAAAAAGCTTTGATGTAAACGTGATAAATTTTAATTTTTGTATTGTGTTTTTAAAATGTAAATATTTATTTCTGAAATTTTTGAAAATACCGCTTCTGTCACAAAAGCATACAATTTTTATATTATATTTTTAAAATATAAAAAGATTAAATTACCCTAATAAGCCTCTTAACAAATTTTACCTATAAAGATAACGCAATCTTTATACTATGCAAATTAAAGATGAAAATACTGAAATTCCCGAGGAAAAAAAATACCATATGATCACCGAGATCAATTTCATTATTTTATTTTTTTTATGTTTAAAGGGCAAAACAGTTTTTTTTTTTTTATGTTTAAAGGGCAAAACAGTAGTCATCTTATTGCAGTGAATATCTGTAATCCCGCAGTTTATTTATTTTTTTAAATAGTTTCTGTGTCCATCCCGTGTTCATCAAACCTGGCGGAGTCTATTAGCCGTCTTTAAACTTGTCTTCAACTAGGCCTCCTCCACCGTTTTAAACTTGTCTTCTCCTTCTCCTATTTAATTCCCTCTTCTTCCCCCTTCCCTCTTCAAATCAAAATCAAATCTTTCTACACTGGTTATTTCTCTATCACTCTTTTTCTATCAATCTCTCTTCCTCCTTTTAGAACATGACTTCTTCTTCTTCTTGCAAGAGGAAAAAGATCTCCCCTTAAAATCCATCTTTTAATTTATTGTTAGCAATTTACAGGCAGCAAACCATGAAAATTCTCCTTGTCCCAATCTTACTTTTGTTCGTAATACTCAGTCTACTGTTTCTGCTTCGTGTCCTTTTGTTCAAAACTGGGCTAATTTACATCACCAAAAAATGGTGGAGATCAATAGAAGATTGTTTCCATGTCTATCAATTCTTCAAAGTCCCAGAATTCAATGAGAACATGCAAAAAAATCATCTTTATCGAAAAGTCTCTATTTATCTCAGCTCTATAGCTTCCATCGAAGACTCTGATTTCACCAATCTATTCACCGGCAAAAAACCCCACGACATCGTCCTTCATCTCGACCCGAACCAGGTCATAGATGATTATTTCCTTGGCGCAAGAGTTTCTTGGATTAACCAGGAAAAAAACGATACCAATCGTTGCAGAACCTTCGTTCTGAAGATCAGAAGAACCGATAAGCGCAAAATTCTGCGTCCTTATCTGCAGCACATCCACATAACTTCAGACGAGCTCGAGCAAAAGAAGAAAGATGTGAAGCTCTACATAAATAACGACAGTCCTGGGCAAAGCGGACACTGGAGATCCGTTCCGTTCAAACATCCGTCGACGTTTGATACAATTGCAATGGAATCTGATCTCAAGAATAAGTTGAAATCAGATCTTGAGTCGTTCCTCAAAGCCAAACATTACTACCATCGGCTGGGGCGTGCTTGGAAGCGAAGCTACTTGTTGTACGGCCCATCCGGTACTGGAAAATCCAGCTTTGTTGCGGCCATTGCTAATTTTCTTGGCTACGATGTGTATGATATTGATCTTTCAAGGGTTTTAGATGATTCGGGTATGAAAATGTTATTGTTACAGACGACATGCAAGTCAGTGATTTTGATTGAAGACCTTGATCGATTTTTTATGGATAAATCAACGAGGGTCAGCTTGTCAGGTATTTTGAACTTCATGGATGGGGCATTAAATTCTTGCTGTGCAGACGAAAGAATCATGGTTTATACGATGAATTGTAAAGATCATGCTGATCCGGCTATTCTTAGACCCGGTCGGGTTGATGTTCATATTCATTTCCCTTTGTGTGATTTCTCTGCTTTCAAAACATTGGCTCATAATTACTTGGGTGTTAAGGATCATAAATTGTTTCCTCAAGTAGAGGAGTTTTTTCAAACCGGGGCCAGTTTGAGCGCAGCTGAGATTGGGGAGCTTATGATTGCCAACAGGAATTCGCCTAGTCGGGCCTTGAAATCGGTCGTTGCTGCTTTGCAAACGGACGGTGATAGAAGGGGGTCTTTGAACATTAGAAGACAGTGGACTGATAATTCTTCAAGGAAGTCAACTGATGATTCAGGGGAACAGTCGGGGGTTTTTTCCAAGGAGGGTGTAAATGCCACGAAGGATATTAGAAAACTGTATGGCTTGTTGAGATTGAAAAGTAGAAAAAAATCAGAGTCGTTTGATAGGACGCCAGACAGTAAGGCTGGGCAATCATGTGGTTTGTGATGTTTCGGGAACATACAGGAAATTTCATGGGCATGGTGGTTCGAGGTTTCACATTGATAAGCGGGAAAGGGGAATGAAGAACTTATACAACGAAAAAGCCAGATGTTGATAGGAACATAGCATAGTTTAGAACAGCTGTTTTTTTTTTAAAAAAATTCTGGTGTTTGGATGCTTTTGTTCCAATCCAACTAGAATATGATTCTGTCATATTTTTTCACGCCATATATTTTCTCTCTTAGTTTAGCAGTACGTAGAAGAAGTTGAACTTCATCTTCTCTGCTGCTTCCCTTTGTAGTATTTTGGACGTGTACATGATGCATTAGCTTGATGATCTGTACTTGATGCTAATTAGAGGACCATACATGTATGTATATCTGTCCATTTTCTGAATCATTTAGGCAACCTAAATGAGAATCAACATTCAAGAACAGGTGCTGTGGTAGTATAATATTGAATATTCTATTCGGGAGGCCAAATGGTTAGGTAACCAAGTGTGTAGCATAATCATCATCCACCTAGTTAAGAGAGCAGAAGGCTTAAAAAAGATAAATTTATAATCAATCCACGCGCTCCTGGCTTCAGTCAGTGGGCTAAAGATCCTTTTAACTGTGTCTGCAATTAGAAGATGGAACATATATATGTCTGGTGGTTTAGAGTCATGCCTCCAACCGCACAACCAAGGTTCTGACATGCTAACAACAACAGAATATTAGCTTTGTCATCACTGATTAAGAAACATTTCCCCTTTTTTTCTGCAGAAGCAGAAGAAAACAATGGATCTGAATTTTGTGTTCCCCAATCTTCTGTAATTTTTCCTGCGATTGTTGGTTGTTTGATGAGGGAGATTTGGAACATGTAGAAGGCATCAGTAGCCAAAAAAAAAACCATAAAGTTGATGGGATGTAACTAAAGGGTGAAATCAGGAATCTGTATTGGTCTTTTAGCAAAATTGAGCAGAGGCACACATAACTGGGCATGGTGTATGAAGTTTCGGAAGTAGGGCTTGGCTTTTCTTCTATTTCTAGTGCAATGCCAATCTACTTCTTCTGCCAAAAGCAAAGATGCTCCAACCATTTTCGTACTCTCATAATTGGTGATGATGTGCTTGACTAATCACTTGTAAGGTGGTTTTGTACTATAAAAGTATAATAATATAAAAAATGAAAAATGAAAATATAAAAATAACAAAGAATATTTATTATTTTTTCTAACAAAACTTTCTCATCAGTTTTATATACATTGTGTAACTTAAAAGGCAGCAAATAAGAACGAAAGAAAGACCCTTTTGGCTCTTAATGGTCTTTCTTCAAAATTATAATCATAGAATACATTATTTATGAATATATATAATCACACTGTTTATAATAAGTAATCGGAACTGTCAGCATCTGCCGCTGAATCTAGGACCATAAACACAACCACCACGGCGGAGGAAAATATATGAAGGACAGCTATCATGGGTTATATATATATATATATATATAAGCAGTACTGCAATGTCATTAATGTGGAGTTATTCATCGGATTTCCTTCTTTTTTTTTAAGTGTAGTTATGGATTTTTTAAAAAAAAATTATTTAAAAATATATTAAAATAATAATTATTTATTTTTAAAAAATTATTTTTAATATCAACGTATAAAAATAATTAAAAAAATATTAATTTAAAATAAAAAAAATAAAACACATCATCAAACATATCTGTTCCCAAAAATTCGGCAATATGTCTATCAAAAGTCAGGCTCTGAAGCTGTATGCCAAGTGAAGCCAGATTGTCCTTTGAAGATGACAGAAAAGTTCACTGGCTCGATATAATTATCGCTGCCTTTGTCATACGGACCGAAGCCCCTGTGAACAACTAACATTCTTTTGCTACCTTGGTCTTGTCCCACTGCCGACAGATGGTGGGTTCCAAAAGTCAGCTGCGCTGGTAATGATCCTCGCCAGACGTTACGGCCAAAAGAAATTGCTAATTACCGTCTCAATTCGATTCCATATAATTAGGGAGTTCCTCGATATGCTCTGGGAATTAACAAATTAGAAAATTAGCTGGTTTATTTTTTAAAACTTTATCTAACTTTGCCTCAATTACATCCTCTACTTTATAAGTTTATCATCCTCGTAAAAAAAAAAAATATATTTAATAAACTGTCATTATATTTAATTTAATAAGTAAAACATGCTTCCTCTTCCACGAGAGCCATCTCCACCGCCTCTCCTCCCTTCTTTTTTTCGTTGATCACTGCTGTCCAGCCACCACAACCATCTCACTTCCACCATCTTTCTTATCTCTAGCAAAACATCCACCTCTAAAAGTAGAAAAACCACCGATTCCTTGTTGGCTGCCTCCTAAATTGCCTAAAAGGTTGAAGAACCACATTACTCCTCAATCTGCATTCCAAAGGCAACAAGCAAATCAATAGTGGGGTGATTCGGCATGCTTTTTGTTAAAATTTAAATGTTTTTAGTTAAAATTATTTTTTATATTTTTTAATTGTTTTGATATGCTTGTATGAAAAAGAATTTTTAAAAATAAAAAATATATATTAATTCATTAATAAATAAAAAATACTTAAAAAACAATAATTAGGAGGCATGTGATCTTAATAAAAATCAAGTCATATCCAAGTCTATATGGTAAAGCGACACAGTGGGTGAATCTATACTATTTGCTTCAAATATCTCCACATTTTGTTCCTACAAATAACACGCCAAACTCACTTCCATTTAAATAATTTATTAACCAAATCGCGACAATATTTATTTCCTTTTGACTAATTTAGGTAGCGAAACCACAATGTAAAATTAATAATAAAAAAATAAAAATAAAAATAAAGAACAATCCAATCTATCCTCCTCCTGGAGTCACTTCACTTTCACTTCCTTTTGTCGCAGAGCCTTGAGAGAGAGACCAGCAATTGTAAGCTTAAGGCCCCCTTACAATTCATGTTGAATCTTGATTGATGCCTGCCTAAAGTTCTTTCACTCGCTTTAGCCGAATCCTCCGATACGGCTACGCTCCTTCGGGGCTTTTGAAACTCTTGAAAACGGCACCGTTCTTCTCTTTTTTCTCTTTCCCGTTGTAACTATAAATTAACACGAACAATAAGGGCATGGATGTAAATACATACAATTTATGAGCATTTGTTGTCTGTGAGATTTATCTTGTCATTAGAGATTTAGTTTAATTTATCCTTGTGTTTTATGCTTCCTCTTGAATCTATGTCTTGTGATTGCTCTTGATTTGTGTAAATTTATTTTCCAATTTATCCTTATAAAAGATATTTTCATCCAAATTGATGAAAATACATTCTCATAAAAAACTCAAATTTAACCTATTTATAAAAAAAATTGAATTTTAACAATATAAAATTTTACTCTTACCAATTTTATTTTTCATGGTAAATTGTGTGGGATTTGAATTTTGTATGTGAGGATTTAAGAAAATAGATTGAAGAATGATTTAAAATATAAAAATAAATTGAGGTTATTTGAATTTATAGAAACATACTAGAGACAAGATCTAAAATATAAAAACTAAGTATGAGTTAATTTCTAGTTTTTATTAAATAATTTTTAATTTATATATATATTTTTATTATTTTTTATTAATTAATAATATCATTAATCTAATTATGATAAAGATTAAAAGTAATGGGTTGCTTGGTATATGTTACTGAGATAATAAGATTTTCATTAATAAAAAGCTAAAAGAGGTGATGCTTTTATTATGTAATAGTATTTTTTTTAAAAAAAAAAAATTAATTTATTAAAAAATAATTTTTATAATTTGTTGTGGTTTAATTTTGTAACAACCTCCAATCTTTTGATCTAAATTTACAAATAAGAATATAATAATTCAATTTAGGATTATGATAAAAAATTTATTTTTATTAGTATTATTACTAAAAATTCAGTAAAGTTTTCCTTATATTTTAATTTAGGATTATGATAAAAATTTTATTTTTATTAGTATTATTAAAAATTCAGTAAAGTTTTCCTTATATTTTCAATACTAAGTTATTGATATCAAATACAAAATTATTGTCTAATTATCCTAGACACAACCATTTCAAAATCTTATTTTATTCAATAATTTAAGATTTCAAATGTATTTCTACATTTCAAAAATCTTGTTAAATACTCTATATTTACCCAAATAATTAATCAAGCATGTGTGTGTATATATATATACGTGTGTGTGTGGATTCAAAGAGTTAATTAAATATATCTTTTCCAAGTTAAATTACAATACCTTAGTTTCTAAGTTCTTATAAGTTCATTAATATTAACAAAACATTAAAGGGTATGGTTATATAACTATAGTCACACCCATAAAATATTATTTACTGGAACAATATTTTGTTTTTTCAATATTAATCTTCAACGATCTATTTTTTTATTTAGTTTTTTTTTTAATTTTATCATTTGTTTTAAAAATTATGCTTCATATTTTTTTTATTTTAATTTGTTTTTTCAATATTAATCTTCAACAATCTATTTTTTTATTTAATTTTTTTTTTAATTTTATCATTTGTTTTGAAAATTATGCTTCATATTTTTTTTATTTTTCTTATGTTGGGTTATATATATGTTTCATGGATTTAGTTTTTATTTTATTTTAACCTTTAATATTAATTTATTGAAAATGAAGCTTTGTAATTTTTTTTATTTACTTTCAATAAATATATTCCAATCTTATAATTTATGTCACAAGTTAAACAAGTTAGCTCGGGTTAGATCATATTATTTTTTTAGGTCACTTTTTATAATTGATTTTCTTTTCAATTTTATCATTTAATATTGGATTGATTGGAAATTAGGTTTTGTGATTTTTTTTTATAGTTTTTATCTTAATCTCACAACCCGGGTCGAATGTTTGATAGATACACTCGAGTTGACTTTGTTTTTTGTGTCTTTTTTTAATTGGACTTCATGATTTTTTTTATTTACTTTATATGGGTTATCATGATCTCGTAACTTTACCAAGTTGACCCAAATTGACCCAGTTTTATTTTTTATTTTTTTTAATTATTTTTTTATTAATTTCACCCTATAAAAACTTGATTTTTTTCATCATTCCATAGTAGATTATTTGGGAATTGAGATTCATAATATTTTTTTTATTTGCTTTATGTGGAGTTATCTTGATCTCATTTATTTATTTTTTTCTTTTCAATTTCAACATTCAATATTTGATCTATTAGAAATGGACCTTTATGATTTTTTTATTCACTTTATATAAAATTATTTTGGTTTCATGATTTATGTCATGTATTTAATAATCTAGCCTAAGTTGACTTTGGTTGTTTTTGTCCTTTTTTTAAATTAATTTTTTTCTTTCTTCTTCAACATTAAGTTATTTGAAAATTA